TGTACAGCTGACGGAATGCCTGACCACTTACAGAGAGTGTTTGAATATACCTGGTCAAGTCTTGATGTTTAAAACCTGTACGAAACTTGCAGTTTCAGTGTGAAAAAAGAATTGAAAATGGATGAAACACCCAAATGCCCACCAAGTGTATGAAAAGGTGCTCGGCGTTGTTAACCCAAATTCATAGTAAGATGTGGAACAACTTAAGTGTCTACTTAGTGAATGGGTGGTTGACAAAAAAAATGTGGTGTGCATATGATTCCATCCCATGTCTTGCCTTTTGTGGAAAAGATGAATCTAGAGGCTGTTTCACTACATGAAATGAGGCAAATGGAGAGATGCTGTTAGATGAGCCTTACCCATGTGTGGAACCTAAAATTTTCAAAATCATAGAAGCAGAAAATAATGTTTACCATGTGGGTGGGGAAACAGATATGTCAATGCTTGCAACTCTTACATTTTTAGATGAACAATTTCTGTGAGTGGTGAACGATGTGTTAAATTAACTGGGATGTAGTAATTAGTAAATGATATATGGGCATATCAAGTCATCACACACAGGAAAGTTTAATGAAATAAAGGAGGTAACTTAAGTCAGAGGAGAGAGAAGCAAGGTTGGACAGAGTCCTTGTCCATCTTCTTAGGGCCAGATGGGCAGCTACTGAGGCAGCTGATCAAGCCCAGGTGACTGACTATTCATTTTATCTGTCTATGGGCATACACACCCAACAAGTATACATGCCCCGAGAGACATACAAATTTTGTTTAGGATTGTTCCTCAATTTTTAATGATGAGATCTGATACAGAGTGCAGTCACAGAATGTTATTTGTCTTTATTTCTTGTTTTATTTACTCACTGGGATTGTTTTCTTTAATATTCAGAATTTCTAAGTCCTCATTCATCAGACAGTCTGTCTTCCTTAGAGCACCCAGAAGTTGAAGAAAACATACCTCAGGTACAGTTTGCTATTCATTCAATTTTCTAGAATTCAAATTATATTTGCATGAAACAATGGCTTATTCTGTTGACAAGATGCTACAGTACTACTTTCTTGTTTTACAATTATGTATACGTGCCCATTATATATATGTCTGTATTTTGTGTTTCAGATTGCAAACCGGGAATCATTCATGGAAGACAGTAGCTTCAAACACAAGCTAGAAAATTCAGAACACAGAGGTGGTTGAGTAATTCATTTAAAAAAAAACAGATTAAAAAGTAAAATTAATCTGGATCATTTTCAGATTGTACCAGATAAAAATCACTTTGCGCATGTTCCTTTCATACGTTTTTAAAAAGTAATGATAGTCTTTGATTTCATTATCTAATTCCTCTACATTATCTTCAGGTCCCAACATTTTCTCTTCTGCTTGATCCTTTCTACCCATTAGGATTTGCCCTGAGATTTCTGATTGGGTAACTGAATTTTTCAATTCCAGCTTCACATCCACTTGCCTTTTCTTCAGTATTTCTATCTTTTTATTTCATTCAGCATACATTTGTGTTTCCTTGAGTTTCAAGCAGGAGTTTTCTCCTTTACTCTTGAAGTTCATTCACACTTTGTTTTGTTCTTATCCTCTTTAAGCTCCTTGCATTCTTTGGTCTTTTTTTTTTTTTAAGATTCATGTCATTGGGTTCACCTAGGTAATTCTCCTTGGCAAAGATTTCTATAGTTCTTGGCTCTGGGGAGAGTCATGTCCTGGCCTCTCATAGTTTGTGTTTTGTCATGTGACCTGGGCATGTGGACCTATTTCACTGGTTGTACAACAGACCAGCATCTGTTGAGTGGAAGTTTTGGCTATTGTCCAATACTGGTTGACTTTAGATCTGGTCTGAAGAAGTTGTAGGTCATTCCTTTGGGTGTTTGGCCTTGACTTTTGACAGGAGAGTGTGGGTGGATTCCAATTCACTGGTAACCAAAAAGCAACCGACTGTGGCTCTCCACTGGGTCTGAACATAGAAAGGTTCGATACAAGGCACCAGATCTGGGGCCTCCTTACTGATAGAATAAGTGAGTGGCTCTTCCTGGTGAGTCAGGGTGACAAGCCTGCCTGTAGCAGGAAGTTTTCCTGTGTGCTACAGCTGCTCGGTCCCAAATAAATACACAGAAGCTTTTATTAATTACAAACTGTTTGGTCTAGGCTCAGGCTTATTGCTAACTAGTTGTTTTATCTTAAATTAACCCATTTCTATTAATCTATGTATTGCCACAAGTCTCATGGCTTTACCTGTGTTCCATTACATCTTGCTCCCCCGGGGTCCCATGGCATCTCCCCTGACTCCGCCTTTCTTCTCCCTGTACCTTTGCATGGATTTCCTGCCTGGCTATAACCTGTCTTGCCATAGGCCAAGGCAGCTTCTTTATTAATTAATGGTAGCAACACATATTCACAGCATACAGAAAGACCATCCCACAGCACCCGGCTGTTATGAAAGTGGGTGCTACTGATTCTCAGCCTGGGAGTCTTGGGGTGGTGTGAATAGGCATCTGAGGGACTCACCTTGTTGCTTCATTCCTGTGCACCTCCAGATGGTCCTGTGTGGGGGTCTAGGGAACTTGCCTGTCAAGCTTTCCTTCCTGTGAGACTCTCAATGGGCTGGAGCATAGAGGAGAGGTGGTGTGGCAGAGTCACCCAGCTGGTTTATACTCCTGCACAATTCTGGATGGGCTGGACAGAGTTGTGTGGGTCTACGATATTTTCTTTAGTTAATTCATCTGTTGATGAACATGTAGGCTCATTCTATAACTTGGTTATTTTGAATGGTGGCTCGAATGGATGATCAGGTGTCTCTGTAGTATACAGACTTAGATTCCTTGGGATACAGGCCCAGGAATGGTATAGCTGTGCTGTATGGTAGTTCTGTTCTTAGTGTCTTGAGGACTCTTACTTGTGTCCACAGTGGTTGCACTAAATACTAAATGTAGATGTAACCAACCATCTTTTTAAGTAAGAAACACAGAACCAATGCAAAGAAGAAAGCCAAGAGGTCAGAGCTAAGAGCTAAAACCTTACCCTTCCTCCTGCGGTGGTCCTACCTCTCCAAACCAGAGCTACTTTCTGTGTTAAAGTCTTTATATAGAGTTTCTGTTCTGCATTCTCATTGGTTGTAAACCCAACCACATGACTTCCTCGTTCCCACCAACACTGGACAGTACCACCACCCTATCCTGCAGTATCTGCTGTTTGCTTGATGTCTGAGATGAGACAGAATTTCAGTGTGTTTTTTATTTGCATTTCTCTGATGACTAAAGCTGTCACTTTTTTTTCATGTTTACTGAACATTTATGCTTAATGTTTTGAAAACCATCTACCAAATTCCTTTGTTAATTTATTGACTGGGTTATTTGTATATGTTTTGGAGTTCTTTATTTTTTCTAAATACTGGTCCTCTTTTGGCTATCTAGCTGGAAAAGATATTCTCTCATTCTGTAGGCCATCTCTTGGTTCTTTTAATTGTTCCCTCTGCTGTGCACAAGCTTTCGGATTTTATGAGGCCCCATTCTTTCATTCTTACTATGATTTTGTAGGCAGCCAGAGTCCTTTTAGAAAGTTCTTGCTCATCCTTAGATCTCAAAGTGCTTCCCCTGTGTTTTTCTCCAGCAGTTTTGGAGTGTCAGATTTGATAGTGACATATTTCATACATTCCAAGTTGACTTTTGTAGAGAGTGAGAATCAAGGGTCTAGGTTCACCCTTCTATATGTGTGTCCCCGTCCCCCAGCACCATTTGTTGAAGAGGTACAAAAGTGACCTACAGATTCAATGCAGGCTCCATCACACCTTCAGTCACACTCTCCATAGAAGTGGGTGGGGGAGAACCCTAAAGTTCATAAGGATGCACAAAAGACCTACATCACCAAAGCATCCCAGAGAGAAGGAGCAAAGCTCAAGATATCACAGTACCCGACTTCAAGTAATTCTACACAGTGACAAAAACAACATGGTATGACACAAACACAGAGATCAATAGACGGGAAGGGGACTCACAAATAGAGCCACAGCTACAGCCAGCTGGAAATATTGTTGCTGTCCACTGTTCTGGCTCTATTTGGAACACGATGTTTAGCAAGTCTGTCTGTACTTTGTGAAGCGGAGAATTCCTAAATGTGTCTAAACTCATCAAAGGGATGTCTGTAGCCAAGTCCTCCTTCAGGCATCAGTAGACACCAGTGCTTTGATGCGTAGGTGGAGCTTGGTCCATCCACCCAATAATAAGCTATCTAGTAGTGAGAAGGAAATGAGGTTCACTTGTGTTGCATCAAAGTTAGATATTAATTGGAAAAAAGAGGTCCAAAACCAGTGATAGTGCAATAAATAAATGACTGCGGGGAAACCTTCCTCCAAATGAGACTTCCACAGCACAACTCTTACACTTAAGACTCAGGGAACATCACAGAAGTGCAGGTGTAAATGTTTTTCAGAGCCTGAGGACTGGGACTGATACTGTGTGACAGTTTCTTCTGGACCGGACAGGGATGTGCTCCCATGAACTTGTGATCACATGGCTGCCTGCACAAAGACCTGCAAAGACCCTACCAATTGCAACACCATTGTAGATGCAGGAAAACCTCACAAGACCATACCAATTGCCACACCATCGTAGATTCAGGAAAACCTCACAAGGCCCACCCTAGATGAAGAGCTACTGGAAGTCAATGACTGCTGAGGGAAAGAGAAATATTTTTTTTTCCTTCAGTGATGAGACCCTAATCCAAGGGAGTCAGCCCTAAATGCATGAAAATAAATGCAATACTAATTGGACTCAATAAGATGTTCTTCTGTATGTGTGTCTGTAGAGGTTATGAGTGCAAGAGGGGACAGGTTGGGGGTACAAGAAGAACTGGTTGGAGAGAGGGATATAGAAAAACCCAAATCAGCACAGAGCAGTGCAGATACAGCAGCACGTATGTGAGATCCTCCAGGAAAAGAGGACAAGATACATTCGAAACAAAAGAAACATGCACACAAGAGTTTCATCACAGTGCTGTTTATGTTTAGAGACACCAGATGGAAGTATTGCTGGCCCAAAGCAATCAAGATTAGAAGATGCTCCAGGATCCCCCATTGTGACAGGTAACTCCATGCATTCAGCCGGCAGCTGTGGGAGGGATGATTGCTATGTCTGTTCTTAACGTACCAATGTGAATTACAAGAGCTGCATTCTAAGATCACCAAGGCTACTGCAGCCTACGTGCTAAGCATCCTGTTCTTTCCGAGATGAACAAATTGTTACACAAATTGTAGATAAATCAAGCACCCTCCCCTTGCAGCATTTTGAGGTCTGCACTGTAGCTCTCCTTTAAGATCCACAGGTTCTAAACAGACTTCTGCTCAGCCGACAGTTACCACATTTGTGTGCATACATAATTTATAGAGAGTGACCTGGCAGGTGTATGTGAGCTTGGCCAGCCTTCTGGATGAACAGCACTATGTATTGGAATGAAGGACTCTAAGAAGATACACTGGGAAGCCCAGAGGCATAAGGCTATGATTTGAGATAACCTGCACTCTATTCCTGGAGCCGCTGGTGCGGACTTGCAGAAGTCATGTGGTGTCCATGTTTCACGTGAATTCTAGAAGCACCTACTATGTTTTTTGTAGGAAATAGATGAGTTGGCAAATGCAAATCCTTAACAGAGACCTCTTATATGCCTAGGTAAGGCTGGCACCCAGAAATTCTGTCAGGCCATCCCCGTTGATGTAACCTGTAATTCCCTCTGTTATTTATTTGTGTACACAAACATGCATGTTGTAGTGCACATGTGAAGGTCGGAGAAGAACTTTCTGGTGTCAGTTTTCTCCTTATACCATATGGGCCCCAAGCGTTGAACTCTGGTCATCAGGCATGGTGGCAAGCACCATCAGCCACTGAACCATTCCATTGTCTCCCCTGCTGTGTGTTCTTGACAACTTCCTGTAATACCCAAGCCTTGCTCTTACATACAGTATCAACTGATCTGATTTAAGGTGCTGAGAGGTTGGGATGGAGTGAACACTTGAAAGAGGGTGGATTTGGTGGGAGGCAGTGTGAGGTGCTTGTCTGACTGACTCAGAATGCGCTAACCAGTGCGGTCATGACCAGGGTCAGCCATGTTGCAGAATCAGATCCAAATAGCTAGTTGGGGGGTGTGTACGGTTTATATTTGTGCCTCTGACCAATTGTTCCGTCTTCTGGCCAGCAGGTAGATCAAGCATGTCTACTTGAGGATTTTTTGTTATCTTTAATATTTTATTTTTGTTTATCAGGTATTTCTACTTCATCTCAAGAAGATGTGCCAGAAAATGCAATGAGTTCCGCTTTAAAAACAGCCCTTGAACACTTCACTAGAGATCTGAAAAGAAAATTTGAGGTATCAGCCCACGAAGGCAGGAAATGTGGAATGAGCCAGAAAAACACTGCATGACCTCACTGATATATGTAATATCTACAAAAGTTGAACAAGAAGGCAGAGCAGAGGGGTGGATAGCAGGGGCCAGGGAGAAGAGGAGAATGGACAGGTACTGGTCAAAAGGCACAAATGGACTGAGCGATCTCTCCAGTTCCATGTTTTCAGTTTGTCAACTGTATCTCTCAACAAAGTTGGGCAAAAAGGCCACAGAAAGAAAACTCAGCTCGTTCTGAATTTAAAGTACCAAGTTCCTTTCATTCTTCTGGAGTACAGTACCCTTCGTGTATGAAGGTCTCCCGAGTGTGAGGCAGGGGCATTCATCTTGGCTGTGGTCACTGATTTTTATAGCCACTCTGAATTATAATTTGCATTGAAAAGGCTACTCTCCAGTGAGACCAAATGTTCTTGGCTTGGTTTCAGGGGTGGCATTCTCAGAAGGCACTGATTTGGCCACAGTAACAAATGAAGGAGGGAACCGTGTGTGGGAGAGCAGACTCTAAGACCCAGGGGGAGGGAATGTGGAGGGTGTCTGTTTAGTAACAGCAGATCTTTGAGACACTGGGCATACAAGCCACCTCAGCCTTGTCTGTGAGATGCATATCACAGCAATTTCAGGCTCCTCTGACCTCGTCTTATTATTTGAATGTCCTCAATGACTTCTGTATCAGCACATTTGTGAAAAATATTGTACCCAGCCAACATCTCTCTAATTAACTCAGGAAACCTCTAGAATCCTGCTTTCTGCAATAAGCCAATGTATAATGGACATATTATATACATTATATCAATAGTATGAATTTAGTATTGTATCAACAGTATGAATACTATATATATGTATATATATTATGAATACATTGTATCAATAGCATGAACATAGGTTTTTCCAGTTTCTCTTGTTCTTTATCATACCAAACCGGAGGCAAGCCTGAAATGGACACAGGATGATGCTTTACTGAGGTCTCTCAGCAGGAATGTTTCCTTTGAACATCGCTGTGTGCCAGTGCCATCTGTCTAACACAGTAAACATCCAGCTAACTTATGTACCATGTTTACCCCAGATGCGATTATTTTGGTTTTTTTTGTGTGTGTGTGTGTGTTATGGCTTTAGCTCAAACAGAAGGAGATTCCACTTTCTTCGGAGAAGGCAAAGGAAGTGCCAGGCTGCCTAGTCAGACTTTGGAACCAGATATACACGTGCAGGTAAATATGGATTGAAAAGCAGAGTCACGGGAGTGAAACAACATGTATCGCGTGACTATTACCTGTGTGGAGGAGAGGGGGCTAAGGAGATACAGTGTGAGGGATGTAAGGCTTCCTGTGCATTTTAACCTTTATGGTGTCTTGTTTTCCATCTACAAGACAAGAGCTGGAGCTCAACATTCTCCTTCAGCCTCTTCATGTCTACCAGTGAACAATCCTGAAACAGGCTTCTTTAGAAATGATAATCCACTTGTGAAGACAGGGCAGTCCCAGGGAGCTATGTAAAAACAGACTAAAGTGTGGTATGTCCACCCCACTGACTGTCATCCAACCTTGGGAAGAAATTTATGTCTTCAGTTCAAATACACCACTTTCTCCTTTCCTTTCCACCCTCAAGCCCCTCTCAGTGCCAACCCTCTCTCAAACGGATAGCCTCTTTTTCTCAGATTATTGTTGTTACACACACACACATACACACACACACACACACACACACACACACACACACACACACACACACACACACCAATACACATACTAAACACCAATGAACCTTGTAAACATTATCCTAAGAGAAAGAAGCCAGGTCCTAGAGGGTAAATATTGCATGGCTCCGCTTAAATGAGAGGCACCTGCTGGAGTGAGTCAAAATTATAGAGACAGAAAACACCAGAGGGGACGAGGGAGAGGCTGTTACTGTTTAATTGGTGCAGATTTTTTTCTCGTGATAAGAAAACTGTAAATGTGTAATGGTGAGGCTATAGAGCACCATGAATGAGCCTAATGCTTTGAACTGCCCTCTTAAACATGATTAGAAGGGTAAATGTTATGTTATGCTGGGATAAGAAGATATAATACATCTTCTTATGTATCACCCTTATGAGTGACAAGATGCCTACATTTCAGAGAAGTGGAGAAGGAAGGAGGCGTGAGTGGTGGATTTCTGTGTTACTAGTCCATTTAGAACAACTGCTATTGAGGCACTATGAATGAGATCTTGGGAACAAATTTTGAGTGGCATGAGGAAGAACTTAGAGATTGCTCCATAGTGGAGAGAATGGCTCGGAATGGGTGTGTGTGTGTGGACATTTGCTTAGCTGAAATAGAAACATTCTTGGGATTAAAATGCATTATTTGAATAAGAATATTTTTCACGTTCTTGTATACATGCAATAGTCAGACAAAGCCACAGAGGGCTCTGGATTTTGGATCCTGCTGTATTTTAAGGGCCTTACCCTCAGCTGCATATCCACTCAGCTAACACACACTGAACAATAATGCCAGGTGCTCACTCCATGTACAGTGTGGGAGAGCCAGCTGTGAGAGCCAGCTGTGAGGGCCAGCTGTGAGGTAGCGTTCTGATTTTTTTTTTATTTTTTATTTTTTGGTTTTTTTTCGAGACAGGGTTTCTCTGTGTAGCTTTGCGCCTGTCCTGGAACTCACTTGGTAGCCCAGGCTGGCCTCGAACTCACAGAGATCCGCCTGGCTCTGCCTCCCGAGTGCTGGGATTAAAGGCGTGCGCCACCACCGCCCGGCGCGTTCTGATTATTAACAGATACCTGAGGTAGCCAGGCATGGCAGTCCATGCCTGTAATTCCAACACTTCAGAGGCTGAGGCAGGAGAATTGCCATGGTTTTGGGTCAGTCTGTGATATGTAATGAGTTTCAGATCAGTCTGAGATTGTAGAGTGAAACCCTGTTGCAATAAAATTAGATTCCGTGTGTGTGCACATATTTTGACTCCCAGTTTCAGGGGATTTAGTCTGTGATCAATTGGCCCTGTTGCTCTGGGCTCTGTGGTAAAAGAAGGTATCATGACAAGAATGAGTAGCAGAGAAACCTCTCAACTGACAGCTAGGAAATCAAAACAAGAGTCCCATATCTCAGAGGCACCTTTGGGGCATGCTCATAATGATCTAAGACCTCCCAGCAGGCCCTACCTCCATCACTTTCTAATACTACCCTGGGACAAAGATTTTTAACATCCTGCATCCAAATGAACAGAAAGCCACAGGGTCTGTGTTTATATGGAGCATCAGGCCTAAAGGAAAAGGGAGACAGTATGCCAACGGATGAGCCATTTACAGGATGGTTAGACACACAATGGTGACTCTGGAAAATGTGAAGCTAAAACACAGAGGTAGGAAAAGTGTGTGAACCTACCTGAGCACAGCTCTCTCAGCAGCCCAAGGCCAGACAGAGGAAAGCAAGCAGAAGGTAGGGGAGGGGCCATCCAGTCTCCTTCCTGGGGCCATCTGTCCTGTATTGTGAAGCTAGCGATGACATTGTGGCTCCCTCTGGGCTGCTCGCAGGGGCTAGGTGAGAGTTTCCGAGATATATGTGTGTGTGTGTGTGGGGGGGGGGTCACTGAATACAAAAAGGTGGGAAGAGAAGGAAGGTGCCAACATGTTTTTAAGGCAAGACTGTCTGGTGAACAAGTTCTCTTGGGAACTTGAGAACACCTAATTGGTTCCAATGAAGTCTGCTGCGTTTGTGTTTGGCAGGCTGAACAAGCTGGAGAGCTTTCACAGTTCTGTTCTTCAGGAGCTGAGCAACTTGGAGAAGGATCTTCAGGCTCTCAAATACCTCGAAGAGGATGCTGTGGCAAGTTCCTTCTTGGTCCTGTCTCTGGGAAGAAAGATGACCTTTTCTAGGAAAAAAGGAAGCGTGGAGTGTTTAGTCAAAATCTTTGTTCCATTTCAGGAGTTTTGGGAGAAACAGTCAGCTGACTTGCAATCGTTCTGTGATCAGTAAGCACTGAGGTACCTTAAAAACTATTCTTTCGAGAAGTATCTTTTTGTTGTTTGTTTGTTTGTTAGAGACAGGGTTTCTGTATGGAGCTCTGGCTGTCTTGGAACTCACTATGTATTCCAAGCTGGCCTCAAACTCCCAGAGATCCGCTGCCTTTGTCTCCCGTGTCCTGGGATTAAAAGGGCATGTACTACATGTGGCTCATTATGACATTTCAAAAACGTAACATTTTTATTTATTATATGTATATTATGATTGATAAGGATGGAGCTAGTATGCCACCCATACGTTTAGAGGTTAGGGAATGATTTTGTGGGGTCAGTTCTCCCACCTTTAAATGGGTTCCAAGGATCAAACTCAGGTTGTCAGGCTTGTATAACAAGCATCCTTATCCACTGGATCACCTTGTGGCCCCCAAATGACACTTTCATGTACATATAGAACACACTTGGCTCATATTTCCTCCTGTCACATTCTCTTGGCCCCTGTCCTGTTCCTGCTGATCCCCTCCTCAGTACCTAGTTTCCCTTCCACTTCCCATGTCTCCGTACAGGAACATGGGTGAGGGGCTCACAGGGGCACAGACAGCTGGTCAGTGGCCATACCACTGTCTCCTCATCTTGTACCTGCTTCTGAGTCCTGGAGCTGCTAGGACATACCACTTCATGGTGGCACGGTTGCTGTGGGATGTTCTGTATGGCAAATGTGTTGCTGATTAGTCAATAAATAAAACACTGATTGGTTATTGGCTAGGCAGGAAGTGTAGGCGGGACAAGGAGGAGAATAAAGCTGGGAAGTGAAAGGCTGAGTCAGAGAGACACTGCCAGCTGCCATGATGACAAACAGCATGTGAAGATGCTGGTAAGCCACGAGCCATGTGGCAAGGTATAGATGAATGGAAATGGATTAATTTAAGCTGTAAGAACAGTTAGCAAGAAGCCTGCCACGGCCATACAGTTTGTAACCAATATAAGTCTCTGTGTTTACTTGGTCGGGTTTAAGTGACTGTGGGACTGGCAGGTGAGAGAGATTTGTCCTGACTGTGGGCCAGGCAGGAAAACTCTAGCTACACCCGATTGTGGTAGTGGGAAAAGCAAATAATGTGTTAACGTTACCTCCATTATTATCAAAGTTTTGACCTCACAGGACCCCTGGCTCCTTATGGGCTCCTCACCCCACACTTTGAGGGCAGCGGATAGAAAGCAACTCTGCTCTAAGTCTCAGAGAAGTCTTCTAAAACATGAAAGGCTCATTCATTTCAATTATCCCCCACTCCCAGTTTAAACTGCTCTTCAGTTAGCATTGTTGGATAGTAATTACTGTTTACATTTATATCCCTCTTTCTAAGACAAACAACAACAACAACAACAAAAAAACAAAAACCTGGCCCTGGTTTGCAAATGGCAGACAGGATGCTGGCTTTTAGCTCACACTGAGTGATGGTTGAGCTCACTGCTCTGGGCTGGGTGCTCAATGTTTAGTATCCCTTCAGGAGGTTAGGTAGCTCAGTCAAGATCACACAGGTATCCAGTGTCTGCCCTGCCCCCTTCAGGTGTTCATCTCAATAATAGTGTTCTCTCTTTTCCTAGGGATATACCAAGGACACCCTGAAACTAGATTGTTTTGACCTCTAGCCTACAGTTTCAAGAAGTTAAGGATTTGAGTGGTGATTGAGAATGCCTCATATGTGTGGACTAGTGGTATTGGCAGAGACAATCCCTAAAATAGACCCAAGTGGAAATATAAATGAATCTTTTATGTTGATAAAAGATAGTGACTGGGTTGCCACAAACCCTCCTCGGGCATTGTCATGTAACAATCCACTCTGTGATACATACTTAGATACACGTTCTTGTTTCTAACATGCCCGATATGAATGTAATAAGTGATGGATCTATTTCTTCCAGGTTTAGCTCAACTCAGTCTTCATAAGGAAAGTCAAAGCCTGGCTTTATGACTGCACCCCTCAGGTAGGTACAGAAATTGACATTGTTCAGTCCTTGTGAATCAGGCACTGAAAAACCTGATGCTTTCTACAACCTTTCTGCTCTGAGCTTGACATTGTTCGGTCCTTGTGAATCAGGCATTGAAAAACCCTGATGCTTTCTACAACCTTTCTGCTCTGAGCTTCCTCCAACCCTACGATGAGGCCCTTGGGTCAGTCATTCAGTCTTTATAATTGAGTGCCTGCTGCTATCTATCACACACTGCACTAAACATGGAGATACAGTGGTGGATTAGCATGCAGACACATTCCTACCATATGAAAAAAGTTCCAAGCCAGTGAGATGGCTCAGTAGGTAAAGGCATTTGCCACTGAGCCCGAAAACCTGAGTTCAATCCCTGGAACCCACATGATGGAAGGAAAGACTTCTGAAAATTGTTCTCCAACCTCCATATATGTTGCACACAGACACACACAGACACAGACACACACACACACACACACACCCCATAAAATTGAAATAATAACAACATGAGATTAGAGAGATGGCTCAATGGTTAAGAGCTCTAACTGCTTTCCAGAGAATCCAGGTTCAATTCCCAGTACCTGCATGGAGGCTCACAACCATTTGTGTCTCCAATCTCAGGATCCGATTCCTCCTTCTGGACTCCTTGAACACTGCACACATGTGGTGTTCAGACATACATGCAAGCAAAAACTCATACGTAAAAATATCATGTAATAAGTTCATCTACAAAATAGCTGTGTTCAAGTAAGTGCATTGAATGTGGTAAGTCACAGGATATGGAGTATAGTCATTAGTAGCTTATTTTGCCTAAGCATGCTGATTGGCTCCCCATCTGGTTTCCATTCTCTCTGCTTTCTTACTAACAGTTAAGCATAAAACTGAAGGGCTGTGTTTAAGATTGTGGCTTCCCAAAATATCAGAGTCATGGACGTGTCTCTCAAAAAGGAGTGATGATTTTGTTGACTGTGAGTTCCAAGGGCCCAATAGGTATGATGCTTGTGCCTTGACTAATCACTCTTCTCCATTTCCTTTTCCACCAGGTACAATAGCCTGAGATGGGAGATGGAGATGGAGTCTGTGGTGCCTTGGTCCAAGAGCTGTCCTTTAGAGCTATGCTCATCAGCAAACAGCCTTAGCAGGTGCTGAGTTAGGGCGGGTTCACATCTTGTAACATATTACCCATTTGTTCATTGAAACTAAGCTTCTTATTCAATTGTGGTCCAGTAATAGAAAAACCCAAGATGTTCAGCAATTTCAAGTCTTTACTTTTCAATTTAAAAAGAGTAAACTTTATTTTAATTTGAGAAATGCCTTCAAGTCTTGTAGGAACTAGAACTTCAGCAGCATTGGCATAGGGCTTATTTCATGAACTCCTTTAAAGAAAAAATCACCTAGAAACAGAATTGGATGAGAACAGTTTGACATGAAATTATAAGGGGGACACACTAGGCTCTTCAGATATTTCCACGTCTCCAGCCCTCTACCAAAGCACGTGGTCAGTAGAGGAGAAATATTCCTCCTGAGATCACTACTAAGTCTCCATTGAAGTTTGTCTGTAGAGGGCTGCTTGTACCGTGGGGCATTTGAGTTTATTTTAGAGAAATTAAACAAAGCCCATATAATCTAAAGCCACTCACAATGTCAGATGGCTTATGAATGGATCAGCAGAGAGTGCATTGAGTGGTATGTTCTCAATATAAAGTAGTTATGTTATAGGGACCATATTAATTTGTAATTTTTTTCTAATACAAATGTATGTGATCCTAACTGAATTGTTGAGTATTTTTTCGTTATGACTTTTAATGAAGTATGCTTTACTGCATTTAGTGCCATAAGGTTTGCTTATAAGAGCACACTTTTTAAAATAAATTTATTTATTTATTTACTTATTTATTTTACAACCTGGCTGCAGTTTCCCCTCTTCTCCTCCCAGTCCCTCTCCTCTACCTTTCCTCTGTCTCCATCCCCCAATCCACTCCTTCTCCATTTCTGTTTCGGAAAGGGCAGGTCTCCCATGAGTATCAACAAAACATGGCATATCAAATTGCAGTAAGACTAAGCACCTCCCCGTGTATTAAGGTTGGGCAAGGTGACCCAGTATGAGGAGTAGGGTCCCAAAAGCCAATAAAAGAGTCAGAGACAGCCCCTGTTCCCACTGTTCAGAGTCCCACAAGAGGACCAAACTATACAACTGTAATATATATACAGAGTGCCTAGATCAGTCCCATGTAGGCTCTCTGGTTGTCGGTTCAGACTCTGTGAGACCCTATGAGTCCAGGTGAGTTGATTCTGTGAGTTTTCTTGTGGTGTCCTTGACCCCTCTGGCTCCTACAGTCCTTTCTCCCTTTCTTCTGCAGGATTCCCAGAGCTCTGCCTAATGTTTGGTTGTGGGTCTGCATCTGTTTCCATCAGTTACTGGATGAAGCCTAATGACAATTGGGCTAGGCACCAATCTAAGTGTATAACAGAATATCGTTAGGCATCATTACATTGACATTTGCCCCCTCAAATCGTGTTTGGTTCTATCCTAGGTCTCTGGGTCATCCAGCCTGCAGGTCCTGGTACTCCAGGTATTGTCAAAGGTGGGTATAGCTGGGCCTTGAGGTAGATTGATTCCCAGTTTTCTGAGAAACTGCCACATGAACTTCCAAAGTGGCTGTACAAGTTTGCACTCCCACCAGCAATGGAGGAGTGTTCCCCTTGCTCCACATCCTCTGCAGCATAAGTTGTTGTCAGTGTTTTTGATCTTAGCCATTCTGACAGGTGTAAGGTGGAATCTCAGAGTCGTTTTGATTTGCATTTCTTTGATGGCTAAGGATGTTGAACATCTCCTTAAATATTTCTCAGTCATTTGAGATTCTTTTGTTGAGAATTCTCTGTTTAGATCTGTACCCCATTTTTAAATTGAATTATTTGGTTTGTTGGTATCTAGTTTCTTGATTTTTTAAAAATATATTTTGGAAATCAGCCCTCTGTTGGATGTGGGGTTGGTGAAGATCTTTTCCCATTTTGTAGGCTGCTGTTTTGTCC